TAGATTTTGATTGTCAAAACGTGTCCGTCTTGGCACAGGATAGAGCATATAGGCGGCGAACACCCAGGTGCGCAGACATCGCGACTCTGCCCGCTCGCTCGACCCTTTTGCCGCGAGAGGGCGCCGGCCGCGTGTAAGAGGTAGCTGGCGCCCTGAGGCGGCATTTGGTGGCGTGGGCAGTGCGGAACGCTACTGGCGGCGTGACAGGGCCTCTCTTGGTTGCGTGTGCCGCCCATCGGCACGCGGGTGCGCAGACATCGCGACTCTGCCTGCCCACCGAATGCATAATGTATGCAACGAAATGCAATCACGCGCAAAATGCAACGAATGCAAATATTGCATAATGCAACGAAATGCAATCACGCGCAAAATGCAACGAATGCAAATATTGCATAATGCAACGAAATGCAATCACGCGCAAAATGCAGGAAATGCACCAGGCGGGAAAGAGATGAGGAGATGGGACAGCAAAGGAGGAGCCCACGTATGGGAGGGTTCAGTTGTGCGCCACGCTGCCCGGCGTTTCTCACTTTCCGGGACAGCCCCGCCCTTTCGAGGCAGGAAAGTGACGGCTACCCCGTACGCCCTGTCGCTTCTACCCCGACGCCGACCGCCCATTCCCCCCTCCTCGTTCCTTCGAATTCTCCGGACCCCGACAAGCCGCCCGACGTTGGGCCTCTGCCCCGCACGCCCCCGCCCCTTCTGCCCCTCGCTCACACCCCGGCCCGACACGCACATACAAGACAAACCCGGCGTCCTGCTCTCAAAAGAAAAGAAAAATGGCAAGGAGGAGTCCAGCGGGGGAGACTCCCCGCCTATGCAACACCCCAGAGAGGGGCTGCCATGAGCTAGCCTTCGATGTTATGAAAACATACGCAAGGCGGACACAAGCACATCGCTCTCTCGGTCCCGCAGACATCCCGCACACCCGCCGCACACCCGCCGCCCCCGCGCGCGCCCCACCCGGGCCGGGAGAGAGGGGAGTGACCGTTTGGGATGGCAACAGAACGAGTATGTTGAGTCCTGGCTCAACAACGCAGAGAGAAATGAAAGCCGATAGCCGTCCGGCTCACAAGAGTCCGGCTCACGTGCCCCGACTGACCGATCTACCGCACTGATCACTTCCGCCCCCTCGCTCCCAACCCATCCACCTCGCCTCGGGCCGCGCCGCGCGATCTCGGGCGATCTCGCGCTATCTCGGGCGATCTCGGGGCCGCGCCGCGCTATCTCGGGCGATCTCGGAGCGTCGCTCGCGCGGCGTCACACTTGCTCAAAAAAGGAAGGGTCTGGTTGGAGCCACGGGGCTCACGTGCTCGCTCGGTTCTCGCCGCCTCGCTCCACAGTGTAGCTTTCGGGGGTCGGATTTTCCGGTTAAGAAACGGTCCGCTCCCAGTGTGGCGGTCGCCCCTCGCCTCTTCGCTTCTGCCGCCGCGTGCGCGCCCAAGGGGATGCGAGGAGCCAATCCGCGATAGGTGATTGCAGGTCTGCCATCACTCCGGCCTCGCAAACCGATCCGGAGCCTCGAGGCGCCTTCCGGACGGAGCCACCACGGCTCGAGGCCCTCTAAAACTGGCGCCGGATTGCCACGCGCAGCTAAAATCAGGTGCGCGTCGCACACCCCTATCTTCGTGTTCGCGGTAGTCGTTCGCACCCAATCAACAATATATCCCGCGGTAAGAACTCACCTCGCCCTACAGACCCCCCAATCACCTGCTACAAATGTTTGGGTCGGAAGAGGTGGCGTCGATGGCGACGGCGCGGATCCGCCCCGTCGTTGCCCTGCTTTAATCGCGCTGTCGAGGTGCCAAGGATAGGTGCCCCAGCGGTCGGGCGATCTGTGTGGCCCAGCGAGAGGTGACAAGTTTCTTTTTCCCGCGGAGACACGGCTCGGGAATCGGGAGTCTCCAAACCACCAAAGCCAAGTCTCCTGCTAACAACAAACCTAAGACAAACTCTCCATCCACCGAACACTGGGCACGGGACTGGCGCGCGCGTTGGCACTAACTCTATAAAGAGTACCAAAGAAGTAAGTACTGGCGCCCGGGGTGCAAGGAAGCGGAGCACTTTGGAGCACTTGGAGTGCAGTCGGTAGGCCTCACACCCAGAGTGGGACGACCGCGAGGTGGCATGAAGGTTGCAGCGAGAATCGGCGAGAGACTGCGAAGAGAGATAGGAAGAGGCGGACGCCCAAGGGTGGGCGACGGCTAGCGCACCACACCCCTCGCTCCTTAAAATCCCTGTGTGGTGGCGGCGTGCCGTTCTCCCATCCCTTCCTGGGCTTCTGCTGTTTCTTTCTTTCTTTTTTAGCCTCGTGACGGCTAGCGCATCACACCCCTCTCCTTAAAATCCCTGTGTGCACAGATAAATGCGACAGGGTTCACCTCTACCTCTCTGTCTCTCTGCTCGACTCCCGCGTGGCACTCGCGTCCTCACTCGGCCTCAGCGCGCGACCGCGTGCGGCAGCACGTGCTCGCGCCACACGTCGGACAGCGCGCTCCAGTCCGGGTGCGCCTCGGCGCCGTCGGGCGGAGAGAGCGCGATCTGGTAGCCGATGCGCATGACCGTTACCGCGTACTCGCGCGCCGCCGCGGGGAAGAGCGAGTGGCTTGCCGGCGACCACGGCGCCGCCGCCCGCCGGATCAGCGCCGCCGCCTCGCCCTCGCCGCCCGCGGCGCGCTGCAGCGGCGTCGGCTCGCCCTCGTGCAGGCTTGCGCCGCTGCGCAGCAGGGAGAGAGCGTGGGCGGCGGTGAGGGTCTCAAGGTGCGCGAGCGGCGTCCAGCCGCGGCTGGCGACCATCCAGGCGGCGAGGTCGGCGTGGTCAAAGAGGTTTGCGACCTCCTCGGGCGTGCCGAGGGGCGTAGCGGCGCGGGAGGCGCCGTAGGAGGAGAGGAGCTTGGCGACCTCGAGGTGGCCCTGGTGGCACGCGATGAACAGCGGCGTGGAGCCATCGTTACGGGCTTGGCTGACCGAAGCGCTGGCCTCGAGGAGCAGCCGGGCGACGTCGAGGTGGCCCTGTTGGCATGCGATGGACAGCGGTGTGGCGCCATTCTCCTCGGCTTGGTCGATCGCCGCGTCAGCCTCGAGAAGCAGCCGGGCGCACTCGAGGTGGCCCTTGAAGCACGCGATGAGCAGCGGCGTGGCGCCGTTGTTGCGGGCTTGGCTGACCGCCGCGCCCGCCTCGAGGAGCAGACTGGCGCACTCGAGGTGGCCCTGCCGGCACGCGATGTACAGCGGCGTGGCGCCATTGGCCTTGGCTTGGTTGACTGCCGCACCGGCGTCGCGCAGCAGCCGGGCGATCTCGAGGTGGCCCTCCTGGCACGCGACGTGCAGCGGCGTGAAGCCATTGTCCGCGGCTTGGTTCACCGCCGCGCTGGCCTCGAGGAGCAGCCGGACGACGTCAAGGTGGCCCCGAGCGCACGCGACGATCAGCGGCGTGGCGCCGCTGTCCACGGCTTGGTTCATCGCTGCGCTGGCCTCGAGGAGCAGCCGAACGATCTCGACGTGGCCCTCCTGGCACGCGATGTACATCGCAGAGCGGCCGCCGCCGTCAGTCGCCCCGACGCTCGCGCCAGCCTCAAGCAGCAGCCGCACCGCCTCGGCCTGCCCGTGGCGCGCGGCCCAGGTCAGCAGCGTGTCCTGCTTCTCGGTGTCGAGCCGCGCGTCGAGCTGGGCCGCGAGCGACGTGCCGCGCGTCCGCCGGCCGGAGAGGTGGGCGTGCAGCGAGGCGAGGTCGGCGGCGGCGATGTCGGCGAGCAGCGTGGCGGCGGGCGCCATGTCACCGAGGGCCTGAGATCATCAGATAGCTCCCGTCACCGTCTCGGGCGCGTTGGCCGGACAATCGGAGAGAGGCTAGCGCACCACACCCCTCTCCGCCTCGAGAGTCGAGGGAACTACGGATACCCATCACTGAGCCGACGAGCTTATGGGTAGCCCCCAGG